CCTTCAGATCAACATGGGGCAGATCAATAAACGAGACTTAGACAAGGGGGATTCTGATCATCCCTAGCCAGGTGGTCGTGGGGAATCCACTTCATCTCCTTGATCACACATCTAAACGAGGGGTAGCTACCTACATGCTACAGTTTTGCTGTGTTAAGTAAGATTAACCAAGCCAATATCTAATATTCCTAGTAGTTCTTCAAAATGTAACTTAGTACCTCCCTGCTCTTTCATAGCTCTGCATAAAATTCATGCAAAAGACATGATATTAAGACAGTCAATTCTCCTTCCAATATCATGCTTCTTTTGACATCTTGAAGAAAACAGTAGCACACTGAAAAATAGTGGTTTCTTTAGAAGCAATAGATGATGTGCTTGTTGGGATGAGGACACTTTCTTTGGCTCATGTTCTAATTTTATATACTGACAATGTACGTCAGCATCATTTCTACATAACTGCATACAATAAGGTAAGTGCAATTACTAAATAAATGTATCAAATAAATGTAACACCAAAGTAATCAAAATAGTATAATGGTCTTGATTTCCTTTATATTTATATTTGTTAAAAATACAGCTCAAACCTATGTCCATATAATTATTTGATGAGTGATTTTGCTAAACATGGTACAAATTTCCACTGCCCCATAACTATTGGCTGGGGACCTATTTTTCCTTCCTATTTACCTACTACAAAAGGTATAGGTACAAAACTACAAAAATGTTTCTACTTATATACCTTTTGTGTTACAAGCAACCACTTGCTTACTGGTGATCCAACTTGTACATTTTTTAACTTTATGATAGGGAGAAATTGACTAGTGAGATGGGGCAGGAAGAGTGGGCCGTAGCTCTCAGCTAGCCACACAGGGACAAGAGAACACTCTGTTTTTCTTTCTTTTTCTGGTTTTTTTTTTTTTTTTCATGTGGTATGCTTTGGTATTTACTTCTTTTTTGTGGAGCATATAATTTTTTTATTCATTTTACATACCAATCACAGATCCCCCTCTTCCATCTTCCAACCCCTCCAGCCTTCCCCCCCAACCCAGCCCTTATCCCCTCCTACAAGAAGGTAAGGCCTCCCATGGGGAGTCAGCAGAGCCCGTTACATTCAGTGGAGGCAGGTCCAAGCCCCTCCCCCTGCCTCAAGACTCTGCAAGGTATCCCACCATAGGTAGTGGGTTCCAAAAAGCCAGCTCATGCACCAGGGATGGATCCTGATCCTACTGCCAGGGGGTCCCTTAAGCAGATCAAGCTACACAACTGTCTCACTTATGCAGAGGGCCTAGTCCAGTCCCTTGGGTGCTCCACAGGTGTTGGTCTAAATTTCATGAGTTCCCACTAGTGTGGTTTGGTTGTCTCTGTAGGTTTCCCCATCATGATCTTGTAATCAAATTGGTGAATATCCTAATTGTCATCATAGAGCCTTTCTCCAGTAACTGATGGTGGCAGATGCAGAGATCCACAGCCAACACCAGGCAGAGCTCCAGGAGTCCAGTCAAAGAGATAGAAGAGGGATTCTATGAGCACGGGCATCAAGATCCTGATGGGGAACACTGACTCTTTACAGTGGCCTGGCTTGTTTGACGCTGGTGTTTGTTGGTTAGAAACAGTAAATACATTTTGACTTGCAACCATTTCAATTTATAATGGTTGCATCAGGAATTAAGCCCCTCCTTAGTTGGAGAATATTTAAACTGTTCAGTTTCAATGACATTTTGGTTAAAATGTTGTTTTGATCTTGACTAAATATTTTATAAAAACTAACTCAAAGTAATGACCACGTATATAAAATACTAACTTTTATGTTGTTGGGGTTTATTTATATTTAATGGTCAAGTGTAGCAAAATGCACTTCACTTTTAACATGTTCAGCTCAGTATTACTTGTTATAGTCTGGACATTCTGCAGCCATCGCCACTATCTGGTACTGAAATCTCTTCCTCATTCCAAGCAAGAACTCTGAACCCATTATACAAGAACTCCAAATTACCATCACCTCAGTTCCTTGTGATCTCTTAACTTTTGTGTCTATGAATTTGTACATTTAAAATATTTCACGTGCAAAGAATCATATCATTTTATTTATAATATGTATAGCATATTTTAAACAAACTAGTGATTGAAGGTTCATTTTATTTCGACATGTACCAGATTCCATTCTTTTCATGACTTAATACTCTTCAATTATTTATGCATAAAGCACACTTCAGTTATCGACTCTACCAATAAATACTTAACATTGTTTCCATCTTTTTCCTGCTGTGGATAACAATTGGTAATAATAATAATGTGCAATGAATATCAGCATGCAATTATTTTGTTGGAGTATCTACTTCCAATCTTTTAGCTAAATTCTAAGGAATACAATGACTGAGTTGGGTATTATTTTTATTTTAGCTTTTTTAGTAAATACCAAACCCTTCTCCATCACATTGAGTTACAGTGTGGGTTAATTATTCCAATCTTCTAGGTTCTCCATAATATCATCATACTTGTAATTTCTTGATATTTTGGCATAAATTGTTCTCATGGTGTGGGTGATAACTCTTTGAGACTTTTATTTTCATGCCCCATATATAATAATCTTAAGTAACTTTCATAGGAATGGCCATTTTCATATTTGTTTTAAATAAACATTTGCCAGATTGTGAAGTGTATTTTATTTTTATGTTGAATTATGAGTTAGATATTAAATATAATAGATGATAATAGGGACAATAGACCCTCATGGTATTTGATTTTCAGATTCATTTTTCCCATTCTGAAACAATCTTTCCACTTTCAAACACATCCTTTGACATACAGAAATTCTAACTTTTAAAAATTTAATAAAATTATACTAGCCATTTTGTCCTTATTTTTTTAAGAAGATCTGGGTGAATTAACTCCCACAGGCTTTTAACTTTGGTAATGTCTTAATCTGCCCCCATTTCTGAATTGGTTCTGTTGTGCCATAGGCTTCCTGGTTGATGGCTTTCTTTTTTCCAGCATTCATAACGTGAACTGTGTCATCCCTCTGTCTTCTAGTCTCCATTAATTCTGATGAAAATTGAAGTCTCCCTTTGGACAAGCTATTTTTTTTTATTATACAATAATGTGCCTCAAATGTGTGTCCTTTTCAGTTTATCCTTCCTAAAGCTGAGTGAGATTTTTTGGAATGAATTCTTGGATATTTTTATGCTAGTATGTGTGTGTGTGTGTGTGTGTGTGTGTGTGTGTGTGTGTGTGTGTGTGTGTACATGTGCATGTGTATGTGCATGTATGTGTATGTGTGTGTTCCTGTGTGTGTGTGTTTATGAAATGTAGGAAGTATTCAGCCTTTATTTTTTTTTCAAATATCCCTTCTTGTCCCTTTCTTTCTCTCTTCTGTGCCTGGGACACCCACAGTGCGTACACAGGTACACTTGATGGCATGTTACGTGTTCTCCAGAAGATATTAAACTGCTTTCTTCATTTTTTCTTATAGATCAGACTCAAAATATTAATTTTTGTTCCAACTGCTGAATATTTTCCCTGTTTGTTCAAGTCTTAGTTTTGAGTTTTGTTGATTATTTTCTGACTGTAATTGTACTTCTTAGTGTTCCAGTTGTGACCCGATTCTTCATTTAAACTTTCTTCTCTCTTCATGTTATGCCTATACCATTTTGTTTGCTTCCTTTTCTCTCTTTATTGTATTTTATTGTTTATTTCAGAAAGGTCTCAGTGTCTAGCCAAGGCTGGCCTCAAATGTGTGGTGATCAGCTTGTCTCGGCTTTATAAATCTTTGGGTTACAGCCTGGACCACCACACCCAGCATTTGCTTCTCTGTTTGTCTTTTCTTGGGATATTTAACATTGTGCTTTTGAAGTCTTTGCCTTGTGATGCTGATGTCTAGACTTTCTCATGAATAGTTCCTGCAAATTAATTTTGTTCTTTTAAAAAACTGTACTTTTCCTATCTCTGTATGCCTTTTCATGATACTACGGGAAATAAGCTTCACAAAGAGAGCACATATCTCATTCTTTTTATATAAATTTCTTTAGAAGCAAACTGGCTACGTAAAGCAGATTAGTGGTTATCTAGAATTGGATAAAAATTGTTATATACACACTTTGCAGGATAATGGAAATTCTTATTTTCTTTCTGGCAATGGTTTTATGATCTATTTGCACATCAATACTGACAAAATTGCATATTTTAAAAATATTGAGCTTATTGCACATTGATTATATCTCATCTCAATGAAGTTGCAAAAGATAAAATTTACAGGAAACTCCATTTTTAAGAAATGTATAAATCTAAATTTAAACCTGTTTAAAAACTGGATATTATATCAAAATTGTATGTGTATGTGCATATATAAATAAGAATATATATGTGTGTATGCATGCATATAATATATTTGTGCATGTGTATGTATGTATATGTTTACATGCATAATATCCCTTCCCCTCTCATTAAGAAACATCACTGCCTCCTATAAAGTTTGGTAATATTGATATCTATGGCACTAGTGAGATTTATCCACAACTGAAATTATTCTGAAAAGTGAATAAGATTGAGATTAAAGTTTCTCTGGCTATTTAAAATGAAAATTGTATTGGAGGAGGCTTTTTTGTACCTTATCTACAACACCACAGAAGGCATGGCAGTGGAAGTAAGTGTGGGATTCTGCACCAGCCTCACCCCAAGTAGGACTTGACTGTATTTACATTGTGTCCCAAATAAAATACAATTTCTTGATTCCTCTCTTTGCCTTATTTCCTCAGATTTCTACTTTATTTTTCTTTTCTTCTTTTCTTGTGTTGTAAAACAAATAAGAATGGGAACTTAGAGAAGAACAAACCCATTTTCATTGACTGTTTGAGGAGCCAACATATATTTATGCTTCAGTTCCTTCTGTTATTTCCTAGACTACTGACCCCAACCTCAGCTCCAAATATTGTTTGCCAAGTACTTGGAGTGAAGTGTGACTTTTGGGGGTAAAGTAGTATACCATGTTTAACAAAGTAGGGCTTCTTATATTCCAATTCTTCACAAATTTGCGAGTCATCCTTGCTCAGGGGCCATGCTAATCTTGTCATTCTCATTCTAATTTTAGTACATGTGCTGCCAAAATGAGCACATAATTCCATTTTTCTTATAATGCATTTCCATCCATTCATTAAAATTATGTAGAAGCAAATCATGATCAGAGGTGATGAGTGTGCAAGACAGATGGATTTCTTATCATTCATGGAACTCAATAATATCCTACTGTAGGGGGAAAAATCCAGGGGATATAAACACAAGTATATTTAAAGTAGAGAAAGAGTTGGGGAGGAACAATGTTTTAAATATCAGGCCTAGAGAAGTTCTGTGGAGAGCTATTTGAGCAGAACCAACCTCTTTGGCCACATTACTGACCCTGAGACCTACTGATCTTGCGTTGTGTATTAGTTAGGGTTCTCTTGAGTAACAGAACATACAGAATGAATATATATATATTTGAAGGAAAATGCCCCAAAGGAAGTGGTACTATTAGGAAATGTAGCCTTTTTGGAGTAGGTGTGGCCTTGTTGGAGGAAGTGCATCACTGTGGAGGTGGGCTTTGAGGTCTCTTATGATTGGGCTATGCCCAGTGTCACAGTTCACTTCCTGAAGATCAAGATTTAGAACTCTCAGCTCCTTCTCCAACACCATGTCTGTTTGCATGCCACCATGTCCTTCAATGACAATAATGGACTAAACTTCTGAAGCTGTAAGCCAGCCCAATTAATTGTTTTCCCTTGCTGTGATCATGGTGTCACTTCACAGCAATTGAAACTGTAACATATACATATACACATACATATACATACACACACATCCATACATATGCATACACACATTCATCTATGTATAAAGGGGTTTATTAGAATGATTTACAGCCTAATGGACCAGCTAATCCAATAATGGCTGACTAATCCAAGAATCCAAAAGTTGCTCAGTCCATGAGGCTGGTCTTCAGTAGATGCTGGAATTCTGAAGAAGTGGGCTCTAATGCCAGTCAAAGAATGGACTTGCTAGCAAGGTAAGAGCAATCAGGAAAAAAGGCTTTCTTCTTCCATGTCCTTACATAGGCTTCCAGCAGAAGGTGCAGCCCAGATTAAAGTTGTGTTTCACTGCCTCAATATAAAGATTAAAGGTGTGTTTTTTTTCCCCAGCTCAAAAGATCTGAATTAAATTTTTGTCTTCCTACCTCCATGATCCTAAGTGGAAGTGGATCATCCCACTTCACATTAAGCAAACATCCCCCACAGGTGTGCCCTCCATTTGGGAGTTTTAGTTAATTCCACATACAGTCAAGTCGATAGCTATCACACATTGCACAGCCAATGGGCCAAACTATTTGGCTTGGAACATAAAGAGGGGCCAGTTTCTGAAGTCAGGTTATGTTAGATGTGGTCATCCACACTGACATAGTTCCAGGTACAGAAGAAAGTCTTAGGTTTGTGGTAAACAGATCAATGATGCTGGGATTCACTGCATTTTTTCTATTCTTTGAGAATTTTATATACGTATACAATATATCTTGATTATATTAACCCCTATTCTTTCTGCTCCAACTCTCTCTGCTCCCCAACACTTCTCTTTCCAAATTTCAGACACTTTTTAAAATATATGAATAAGTCCCTGAGTCCAGTTATTGCTGCCTATGTAAGCATGCATGTGGAGTTATCCAACGGGGCATGGACAGCCTACTCATGGAACACACCAGGTGAAACATAAGTCCCTCCATAGCAGACATCACATGTCAATAGCTCCTCAGCCAGGGTTAGGGCCTTGAGAGCACCTTCCCCTTCCGTCTTAGAATTTTTAACTGACTTGATCTTGTATAGGTTCTACGAGGATAACCACATGTGCTATGAGTTTATGTATGCAGCATCCACATCATGTCTGTAGTCCAGCACTTCACAACACCCCCTTCTTTTGGGACTTACATCCTTCCTGCTCTCCTTTACTTGACCCTTGCTGGGAGTGGGTGCTGATGTGAATGTACAGCTGAGAACTCATAGTTGCTTATTCTTAGTACTTGGACCAGTTTGGAGCCTCTGCATCAACTATTACCCACTTCAATAAGAAGTTTCTATGATTTGACTTCTGGAAGGAATATCATCATTTGAGATTATATTTTTTTTATGCTAAAATTTGTGACCACCTCTTCTTAAGAAATAATTTATGTCCTAAAAATCCTATTCTATCAAAGCCACACAATTATATGTCCATTCAGTCACACAACTATCATCTGTTTGTCCATCTGTGCACATATGTATCCATTCATCCAGCTGTGACTTAGAGGGTATGGTAGTAGAAGACCAAGAGCATCTCAAATCTATAGTCTAAACAACAATGTTTAGAAGGCAGTTTGCTAGTGTGACCAATAACAAAACAACGTTAATAGGTTCTCCTAAGACTCCCATAGCTATCTTGGCTCTTACTTGACTACTTAACACTTGATCAAAATAGGTGCAGGACCAATTTGGTGTATGCCTTCTTGGGCCCTATGTCTAAAAGGCAATCTTGAGAAAGCCAGTTGAATAAAAGCACATTGCAATCACAGTTTGTGTGAGAGCCAAAGGCCAACCCAGAAACATGGCACAAGCTTGCCTATGAGAATGGAATATTGGCTCCAAAAGTGTTAAAGATGCTATTCTCAGAATGTTATTATGCTATTATCTGTGAAGCCACTGCTCAGTGTATCTCCTCATTAATTGTTGTATTTTGCAAATAGTATATTCCTGCACTAAGAAGCTTTATGTCACCTCAAGAAAAATGTTTCCTTTGACTATTCTCCATGAATTCATAAATCATATTGAATAAACTAAAATGAACATCTCTAGTTTAGAGAAACTACACAGGATTTTTAAATGAAAACTGTGTTTGATTTACTTCTTTTAATTAAACAGAAAACTCTCATGTTTCACATCATTAAAGCAGTAACACAGATTGTGTTGCCTTCTAAATGACTTCATCAACTTGGGCTGCTGTAACATATTACTGAAGGCAGGGTGGTTAAACAATAGACTTCTATTTATCAGAGTTGTTGAGGTTGGAAGTCTGAGATCAGCATATTAGCATGGTCAGATTATTGGGGAAAACCATTATCTGATTCAGACTGCTTATTTCTCACTGTTTCCTTACCTGACTAAAAGGCCTCTCTGCCTCTTACTCTCCATCTAAGCACACTCCTGCCTTCATGAGAATACAACCCTCATGACCTCATCCAAGCCTGATTACAGAATCCATGCCTCTACATACCTTCTCATTGGGAATTAGATAGGTTGAATCTGGAAAGAACATGTGTAGTCTTTAGTCACGCTTTCCACCCAGCACAGTCTGAGTAATACCTGTGTAGAGCTAAATCATCTTAACAACTTTGTACGCGTGGGGAAGGACATTCACATTGTCTCATTTTGTATAATTGGTTGAATTCAGACAAATGAATTTCTTGTCGTTCTCTCAAATCTGATTCACTTTGTTCATGGCTTAAGTGGCATCTGTGAGCATTAGGCCTCTTTAAAAAATGACAGAAGATAATAAATGCTTCCAGAATTTGTTTTGCTGAAGTGAACTAATGACAGAGGACCATATGGTAAACTATATTTTTAATTACTTTTCAACAATGTTGAATGTTTTCTCTCCTTATTTTCATATTTAATGCTCTTGATCACATTTACCAAGAGTCTTCTTCAGGAGAACACAGCTTTTACATAACAACACTTGAGTAACTTTATAGGCAGTATCTATTATTGTGCATAAGCAGCACGCTTGTTCTCAGTACTGTAAACCTTGCTATGACTCTTTGGACCTTCCAAGGAGAAACGCTCTCCTTTGCTCCCTAGGTTAAAATGGCCACCATGTACATTTCCATCGCATTGAGGGCTTTTGTTTTACTTTTCTGATTTTGGAATTTATTATCTATGTTTTAAAATAAATTTTCAAGAGGGAGGGGGAACAGGGGTTGGTATGTAAAAGGAAAGAAAAACTTTTAATATAAAAACAATTATAAAATAAAATAAAATCCAAGGGGTGAAATCTCAAAATAAAATAAAATAAATTTTCTTGAGATTATAATTACCTCACTTCTTCCTTTTCTTACTGACCTGCAAGCCCTTTCATGTGTCACATCCTTCTGTTCTCTTGTAATTTTATGGACTCTTTTTCTTTAATTTTGCTTCTCTCTCTCTCTCTCTCTCTCTCTCTCTCTCTCTCTCTCTCTCTCTCTCTCCCTCCCTCCCTCCCTCCCTCCCTCTCCTCTCTCTCTCTCTCTCTCTCTCTCTCTCTCTCTCTCTCTCTCTCTCTCTCTCCTCTCCTAGATATATAAAGGCAACTTCCTCAGTCTGTATAATGTTACTTATATGTATATGTTTTTAATTGTTTTATTAACATGAATTTGGTGGCTCTATTTCAGTTTAAGAACAGCTTAAGCAGTAAATGGTTGTTAAATACCCAATTTTAAACCTAAGTTTTGAAACAGAATATATTTGATTTGAGGATATATATATATATATATATATATATATATATATATATATATATATATATATATATATATATAAAATATAGAGCATGTGTTTGTAGACTGAGGAACTAGTACTTTATTTGCAGTGAGTTGAAGTGAAATCTTTACTCAGATCCCTAGGTCAAAATATCCTAGAGCTCTGATTGTTCCTCCATGAGTAGGCAGAAATTACTCAAGGTAAAGGTGAGATAACAGCTAAAGTTACCTGTTAATGCTTTTAAATATTCATAGTCACATAAGGAATTAAGATTAAGCGGCCATCTATATTCTTTTGCAGACCAGCTGTCATGTACCCTCCATTCCTATCTTTGTCCCTATCTTTATGAAATGAAGCAGCATGGGGTTTTTGTTTGTTTGTTTGTTTGTTTGTTTGTTTGTTTTAGTCCCTTTTTTTTGCTGCATGGTACAATTCCTTTGTGGGTACTCACTTATTACCTGTATAACAGTCATGGGGTTAAAGACTCAGGTATAACTATGATCTCAGGAAGATTGCTATCTCTTTTTCTAGTGTGTGTGTGTGTGTGTGTGTGTGTGTGTGTGTATGTACATGTGTAAGAGGCCAGAAGACAACCTCTCATGTC